ACAAATGAAACATACCTCATATCAGTGAACTAAAGGATATAGCTGTAGTCTGTCTTTTGTAATCGCTGACTTTGAATGATCAGTACAGCTTGCAGTATACTTCGTACTTGATCCTCACCTACTGATTTAATATTGTTTCTTCCATCATCTGCAGTCTTCGTGAAAGAAGGTCCTGAAATTTGGTCTGGTGTGGTTGTGTCGAAATATCAGATTCTGACCTAATTACTGTATACTTTATAATTTTGGTCTTATTTCCTTAGACACTGTTTGAAGGTTGTTATGTCTCAGGATAAAAGAGAAAAAAATTCAAAGTAACTTCTGGGATGTAAGTTTCCCTTATTCTGCGGTGAACTGGCATCATCTGTGACACAATATTTTCATAAAGATTATGGTACGATGTTGATCTTCGCTTCTATTCCATTTGCCAAGAATACCTTATATTAAAGGCACAGTTTACAGTTGAGTGACAACGATGACCTATAGTCTCCCAATTCCTTTACAACAAAATTGTACACAATTTTCTCTTTCATAGAGATGAAAGACGAAATACCAGACCGGGGCTTGAACTCGCAGTCTTTTGACTTTGAGTTTAATGTTTTACTGCCAGAGCAACTCATGTCATACCTCAGGCAGCCTAGCTCTTGATCTCATATTTAACAAGACTTGTGAAACAGGCTGGGCTTGGCTGAATCAGTTATGGCGATAAGAACAGAATGAGATCAATGTTACCTCTGTAACGATTCAGCAAATTTCATTTCGTAAATAGAACATTGCCAGGTTACCCTTGATTAAGAATTTCACATTAACATGAGTGGAATAATAAATTCACTTTACTTGCTGGGTGCCATTATCAACGTTGATCGAGCACTTGAAGGCAGGAACTAAATATGTTACTTGTAGGCCACTTTGTAGTCAGTAATGAGTACGTCTGTCGAGGTAAACAGACAAGATCTCTCTGAAGGTGGCTTTTTCCCCATGCGTGGACAGAGGCCCGGGTGAAAGACCATTCCCCAGCTCTTGCGCAGAGTCTTACTCAGTATTCTTGAGGTCAACAAAACGTTTAACAGCTGAATGAAAGGCGTAATCCTCTACTGAAATGCAAAGTGTATTAAAATTTTTAGATCAAAAACAGTAAAAAAAAGTAAGATACAAAGAAAAGAGATAAATTAGTGCAAGCAGAAATAAGAGCACTAGACTTAAGTTAATTAATTCGATGACGAATCAGTTGATCGACTGTTTTTCGTCATAATGTACTCCATTGAGTGCTACACCTATTATTATGAACAAATTTTTTACTATTATTTGCGATGTCTTTTGAACAAACATCTTGCCTTTTAGGTTTTAAACAGGCGTTGCGTCGATGCCGGTATCTTGACAGCATTGGCTTTACAATGCCAAATCTCACCTTGGTCCGACTTCGATCGAAAACATTATTTTTATGCTGATCTGCCGGTCGACTTGAATCAGCTCATTGTGGTACGAGGTAACACTGCTCGATTTTAGGCTGGCTACCAAATCACACAACACTTTCATCCGATTGCTGTCGATGGCACAATTGAATACATCGTTTATGATCGGCAGTCGAATTTGGATGCCGTTGTAAAGCGCACTAAGATCGTGCAGATACAACTGGAACAAGACAGCGGAAAAAGCCTTCATGACCTGAAACAGTGGACGACGTATGTAGACCTCAACAGATGTGGTAGGCTATGAATATACTATGAATAAGAGCGTAAATGCGGCAAGGCGCAGGGTTGCGGACCTTTAAGTTCTAAGACTGGTAGTTGGTTCTTGTGGCCGTTGTTGACTTTTCCGCTCCTGCTATCGGTGTTAAACCGAAAGGCTCTGTGTAATGGCAACCGAATCATCAGTGAGAGTCTTTTTTTCCCCATAAGCCGTTATATAATGAAAAAACGGCCGCGTCAAATGCTTGCTCAAGTTCATCTCCTGTTGGAGCGGCTGGTAAGCTCAAGCAGCTGTCGTTGCCTTAAACCGTAAACGGGGCTGCAAAGCTTGGCGGAAGGGGTTTTGCTAATCCCGAGCATCCTCTACACAGAGGTTTTGATGCGTGCCGCTCGAGATTGTCGCAGTGGAACCGCTTTAGGCCGATTTGACGTGGAACACAAGCCTATCGAAAATCTTCGCTGTACTTTATCTTCTTATGCCTAATCGACAGGAACAAAAAAGTTCAGTTGTTGGATACCAGCTTACATTGTTTCTCACATCGCACGTGAATCTTCTTTGCGTCTGCTCTTAAACTAATTGATCTGCGTCGTATTGTTTTCTTGTTCATTCCTTCTACCGAATCCGATATGATTTTAAAGCAATGATTACAGAAGACTCCGGTCATTTGTCCAATAGTATTTGTCCTCCTGTAAGAAATCTGCTATTTGAATTTAATTATCTCACTTAGCATCTAACGCCTAATGTACACAATCACAGAATTGATCATATGCCTGACCTAGGTGAGGAAAATCAGGGATATTTTTTATCTGCTTTTTCTCTTGATTCATTCTAATTTGGACAGAATTTGCGAATTGACCCTTTGCTTTTTCGTTTCGCTATTACTAACCGTTTGCTCAGGACAGCTCAGTAATAATGGCTGCAGTAATGTGCAGGTAATATGTTTACTGATATGCTGCTGAGGTGCAGCTCAACTGGAAGCGGTAGGCTTGTGCAAGCGATTATAAGAAGACGTGATCATGTTTGTCGCTTCCAAGTTATCAATGATGTGCACCATCGTACAAACAGAGAGATGGAATGGAGCTTCAACAACCAGTCATCACTTGGATCCCTTGGACCGACCGGTAATCAGTGATGAATCGCGCTGTCCGCAACACGCCTGTGTTGGTGAACCGAATATGTGTCTGATCCATCAATGCTTCTTTTTTCTGCTTTCAATGAATAGGCCCTCCAGTCAAGTCCGATGTCTCTTTAAGTGTTGGGGATGTGGTTATGACGTTAGATTACCCACAGTTCTTCTTTCCATGTCTCTATCAGTGACTGACAGCTGGTGCTCTTTGGCTGTTGTGAGGGTTCATGTCCCACAGCCATGCAACGTCACCCTCAAAAATTGAAATAGAGTAGAAATACAAGGCCGGGAGAAATGAAATGGTCCACGCGGGATTCTGAGTAGGACGTTTTCGACGAATTGGAACGCTCGCCAACCGGCTCTCTTTCTCCGTTGAATCTCTCAGGCATGATCCTCCCGAATGTTGCTCTCTTGACCCAGGTTAAAACGTTTATTGACTTCGAGTTTTTTTAGTATAATCTTACTTGAGTCTGAACATACCAATCATATGAACTCTGAACTAAAAGTATGCAAATGTGCTTTTTGCGCTAGTTTTTAGTAGTTTTAGTTGGACATCTTTAGGTGTTGGTCTGATGGAAATCGTCACTGACCACAATCTTTCAAATGGGCTTGAAGCGTCTTGTTTGGTAAAGGAGTTGGCAGCCACGTTGAAAGCTGCGGGAACATGTTCTGCCAGAATGGAAAGTAATGTAGATGGTTTCAAATAGTTATTATAGAAGGCTAAAGACAATCTGCTTCTTTTAAAGATCAGCTAATTTCACTGAATAACTCGCTCCAAACTGCTTTGTTCATAATTTGATCTGTAGATTTATCTATTTTTCATGCTGTTTGTTTATTAATGGGCTTTTTAATTTTTTGATCTATGCTGGAGAATAAGATGCCTTGAAGACTTTGTTCAATCGTTATGCCTTTGTTCTCACGAAAACGCATTATGACTTTTTGTGTGTTCAGTTTTATCTAGTGTCTATTTGCTAGATTATAGTAAGAATTTTATGATTTTAGCTTTGAGGAGTCTGTGATTTCTACTACAGAAAGGAAGAGAAAATGGAAGTTTTAACCGTTAGAATACCGGTATTTACATTTTCATTATTGGGATGCTTCTGGCGTCCTTCTTTTCATGAAGTTAATGATAAGGCGCTGATCTCCATTTCCATGCCATCAGTCAGTTTTTTCCAAGGCAGAATCGACAGTGGCTGTTTAGCAGGCATGGTGTGTAGGCTCCTCATTCGTTTGCATCGTGGTACTCCTTTCGAAAGTAAGAAAGGCGAGTGACTCAAGCAGCGCTCGAATCGGAGAAACTCTCTTTTCGGAGTCTGACGCTCTACTGACTGAACGATGTTGATTACCGTGAGTAAATAAAAGTCTTTTAGGTGAAGTATTTTCGATTTCTTGAGTTTGATACTCATCAAGTGATTCCTAGAGATTATTAATGCAATCAGTAACATTTCCAACTCAGTGGCAAGAAAAATATGATTCGATTGATTTCAGTATGAAATTAAGGAAAGGCAGTAGAAACTTCTAGGCATCTCCCTTATGAGTTAGCTGTCGTTTGATCAGTGATCATCATGGGAAAGAAGAATAACATTAAAATTTCTGATCCTGTTCATGGACGCAAGGCTCCAACCTCAGCCATGTATAACATGAAAGAGAGCAAAAGGCTTGATTGCTAAAATTGACAGTGCAGCTATTTTAAGCTTGCAGGCAGTTCTGTTGCTTTCTGTGTAGGTTTTCCCTGACCGCATTAATTGAACTTGTATACGACAATCTTGAATTAACTTTAATTTTGAGATGTGAATGTAAATAGGCACGTTTTAGCTGAGGCGCATTTTTGTTATTCGTGATTTAGTCATTTAGAAGGTGAGCTAAGGGTCGACGCCAATATCTCTGTCCACAAGCCGAACGAAGTGCTCCGGTGTCGCACCGAAGTCAAGAACTTAAACAGCTTCCGTTTTCTGAGACATGCTGTTGGTAAAGCGTTTTCGTCAGGGTCATCTGGTCATCTTCGTCTGAATCTGATTTCAGATTACGAAATAGCGAGGCATATTCACGTATACGAAAGTGGCGAGGAAGTGACCAACGAAACCAGGTCTTTTGATCCGATGACAGGGTAAGAAGTGGACACTGCAAACGAACTTTTCCGTGGGTGCCTTAGACTGTTTGATGTATTGGGGTTCATTACACGAACTGTATTTGAATGACGAGTCAGGAACTTACGCCTTCGAATTTCAGTCCATGGTTAGACTCTTTGACCCTTATAACGTTTCATTATGAACGAAACTGTTGTATAACAAAATTGTAACTTATCTTCTCGTCATCTTTTTAACTTGTATTCGCGTGGTCATTGAGCCTTATTCAAAATCAGATTCTTATTCACTTACAAGCGAGCAACGATTCTGACACTGATTCATTGCATGAGATGTTTAGGTTAAAGTGAGGCAAATATTAAACTATCAGAAGTGAACAGATGATCTGAAACAAGGTTCGGCGAACGGTATTACGTGAACACAGGATTTAATGTACTGGACGAAGAAGGAAAATTGAAGCAGAAAAATTTGAAGCCAAATAAAATGAAGCTTGTACGCTACTATTACGTAAACACATTGAAATTCACCCTTATTCACCTTCTGACCGACTGTATTCGAGATGAAGTGTAAACCGTAAACTTAGTATCCTGCTATTCCCTTCTCTTATACGTCATGTGATTATCGTTTAATAAGCTGACAATAGCAATATGTAGTTTTTTGCTATAGTTTTAATATTATGTAGCTGTTATGTAAGATGACATTGTGTTTCTTGTGCTGCTGATGCAAAGCGCAAGATTCTTTGGAGATTTTGTTAAAACAGTAAACTTTGTATTCAAAATTTCATACTGCAAAATCGCTATGATACCAGTTCTGTTCAGGCATACGGTCCCGATGCGCGATAAAGAGGTGAGGCAGGACTACCGCTATCTGCCTGAACCAAATTTGCCTCCAATAAGAATATACG